ACCAAAAAGGAAGAAACAAGGGTCATTACACAGCAAAGTTGCACAAAGCTACATGACACCATCCCTATATCTTTGTTTTATTGTTTATAAGCAAGGTTTCCCTTGAGCTAAGTATACATGCAAGAAAACCTCTATTGCAGAGCCGTATAACAACAAAGATATAGGGATGGTGTCATGTAGCTTTGTGCAACTTTGCTGTGTAATGACCCCTTGTTTCTTCCTTTTTGGTGCTTCAAGCCATCCCTATATCCCCCTTTCATTTTGAAGAAATGATTTTTCCACTTGTTTCCACTATTTTTAACAGCTTATGACAACACTGCATTTATATTGTTACAGTCACTCTGATGTAGCTATGTTGTAGATAGGCTACCATAGACAAATTGTAACTGTTGAAAGTAGTAGCTAATGGGGCTGCTAGTGCCTGAAGCAGGGGCTAGATACCGTATTCACCTCATGTATTGTCTTCAACAAGGATGAACTTAGATTATTGCATGGTTGTGGTTTCATTGGCAGGCTTTGGTAATCAGGCAAACAATGAAGGCCCATTTGACTGAGCGCCCCGCAAGGCTCGCGTAACACCGCGCAGACTCTGGCAAGTTGCTCTTCGTGCAAATCAACAGCCAGTTGGAAATGTGCACACTTACTTACAGAAGGTACTGGAGGCTGAGAGTTCCTCTGCAGGTCTGCCAACTCGCTCGCCTGGTAATACGCTCGCTAGCGCATTGGACAACGCCCATGCCTGGCGCATGCGCGTGGCTCACTGATGCTGAGTAAGCAGCAAATGGCGTTATTCAGGTCGACCATGGAAGAGCTCCATGATCTACCCTAGTGACTAGCAGCAAGAAAGAAACGATCGCTTGATGTCCGTGCACACCTCCGGCGAAATTGAAGACCTTCGGTGAAAAAATCAGTGCTTGAACTGGTACTGGTAAGGAGATAGCGGGTTAAGAAGAAGAAGAAAGAATATGATGACACAAAAATCGTGAAAACGCGTATGAGCGAATTCTCGACTGGACGACTGAAGGTGCGTATGAGCTCTTGGGGGACATGTATAGGTAGATATGGGCCCGTAGACTATTGCTAGTATGCTTTGAAGGCCTAGGGAGTGATTATCACAGAGTTTTTAGTCGTTTTGTACGCGGATCACGTGAGATTTCACCCGTGTCATCCCTATTTAGAGAGTCTACCGACTCTCTAATACACATTTTTAAGCACAATCTGTACACAATGTATTTCAGAGTTTTCAGGTCACAAGCAATGCAGCACTAGCAATGACAGAGAGGGAGGTGAAGACGAGAACAACAATAGCAGGGGCTTTAGCCGCAACGTGCCTGGTGGTAGTATTGTCTGGTAAGATATAAAGACAAACCACTGGATTTTCCCCCATCCTCGTAGTACAAGACGTCGTGGCAAGTGCCGGACTGAATGATAAATATGAATGTTCTGCTTTCGTTTGCCTCTTCTTGGGGCTCGAACAACGACCTGCAATCTTCTTGGTTATACGGGTCCCCGTCGTCCGGGAGAAGTGTATCGTACAGATCATAACCTGGAAATCCTTCCTTGGGGTTCGCTTCATACAACACCAGTGCAGTACGAATACCGTTAGGTCCCTTCAAGTTTTCCATGCATGCAGCCTCCACATCCTTCTGCTCCGCCGTGGTGGGCTTGTAGTTTGTAATGCCCGTGGCGAACTCGAGGTCGTAGTCGAAGGCGAGGGGTTGGCAAACCACTGGATTTTCCCCATCATCGTAGTACAAGACGTCGTGGCAAGTTTCGGACTCAATGATAAATATGAATGTTCTGCTTTCGTTTGCCTTTTCTTGGGGCTCGAAGAACGACCCGCATTTTTCTCGGTTATACGGGTTCCCGTCGTCCGGGAGAAGTGTATCGTACAGAGCGTAACCTGGAAATTCTCCCTTGGGGTTCGCTTCATACAACACCAGTGCACTACCGTTAGGTCCCTTCACGTTTTCGATGCATGCGGCCTCCACATCCTTCAGCTCCGCCGTGGTGGGCTTGTAGGTAATGCCCCTGGCTAACTTGCGGTCGTAGTCGCAAACGACGGGGTTGCCATAGACGAGAATTAAAACGTCGCTGCACAGTCCTGCCCTCGGCCCGTCCACTAATCGCAAGATCTCCCTCATCTTGTAATCCGAGGAATTGCTGACTGCGATGGTTGAGCAATCTTCCACGAAGGGGTTAGCGTTGGGCGCGTTCGTTTTCTCGACGACAGAGAAAATGCTCGATGAGTGCGACTTCGTATTTCTCCTGCTCAGGCAGGCTCTTCCGACAGTCTTCCGCTAGCTGCTCCTCTTCAGGAGTGGTAGGAAAGTATGTCAATTTTCCGCTCGCTGCGGACCACCACAGCGATTGTAAGGAAAGCAAAGCAATAAACAGACTCTTCTTCATCTTGCACTTCGAGAGTAATTCTGATCAATTTCACACCAAGGGCACAAATGGAGCCCTGTCCGCGTCTTCAGGGCTTTTGTTAGCGCTGCGCATGCATGTGGTAGGTGGTAAATCAGCGGAAATTACGTTGCACGTGACGCCCTTTTGTGTGTACGTACGTGTGTCGGAACCCGGAAGCTGGGTCCTTTACGCTTCCCGTATCAATTGAGGTGCTACTGACGTGTGAACAACGGTCTTTCTTCTCCTAACAAGTGCAATCAGTAACGTGCCAAGTGCAGTCAGTAACGTGCCAAGTGCAGCCATGAATTGCTTTACTCATGCACTCGTGATGCCATGCAAGGGCATGCGCAATAACAATCGCCGAGCGCGCGTGGGTGTAAAAAATTGGGCGTCCCCACAGGTGCTTCTGCACGGCTCGTTAGGCCCGGGGTCGGCCAATATCCAGCGACGCGGCGGATGGTCATGGAGGATCCAGGGCACTGCGTAGCGCAGCTACGCGACTGCAGCAATCTCTCCGCCGTAAAGAGAGCGATACAGAGCGCGGACGAAGCGTGGACGGAAGACTTTATCGAACACGGCGGACTGACGGCCATTCTCGACTGCCTCTCCGTACTGGGAGAGACAGATGTGGACAGTCTCTCAACTGCCGGTACGGGCTGGAGTGCGTCATACGCCGCGGGGGCAAGGAAGGAAGTATGGTCGGAAAGATTGCTCTAGGTGAGGGGATACGTGGGCGTAATCTATCGTAACACATCCGCAGCAATAGCATGCACGGTTTCCTAGGCACTAAAACATGCGTCATGCGTGCTTGTGCGAAATATTGTTTCAGAAAAAAGTCCCACATACTAAAGGACCACACCCTAGAAGCATTGTTGATTCTCTAAGTCTCTTGTGATTGTATGAATTGGCCCTCAATTGCACGGTCTTACTGCTTTTCACACCACATATTAGTGCAGTACTTGGTACCACAGTGATTAACTGTGCCTAGCCAAGTATAATTATGCCTATGGTGCCTCATGGGAATAGAGTAATTTACTGATGCATATTGCTTGCATGTGGACGAGGGCTGGGGTCAGGTAAATGCAGGCAAAGCTTCTATGAAAGTCTTCTACATTTAAACCTAGCTCTTACTCTCGTTATGCGTGTGTAGAATTATTTGGTTTTACCCGTTGCTCTGGGTGTGCGGTCTATGGCTCTGGCGTGCTATAGCTGACGTCTACGTATTATTAACACAAGTAGTGCATCATTCGGCACTGGAGAGAGAGAGTAATGTAAAGCTAGTCGCCATCAGTTCACGTTGTGTATTCTGCAAAGAAGGGAACTTTTGTATTTCAAGGGTTTTCTAATATTCACGAGTTTCCTTTGCAGAATTTCATGCATTGGGACGTGTGTGTGTTACAATGTGGTAATAAGTAGAGTACTACAAGTATAGAACACAAAAGACACAACGTATGCACCAAGGAGAGCTTTTCTTTTGGCAAGTTAAGCAAATCAATTGTGCTGACTATCAACTGGAGGTTTGTTAACTTCCGGGCATCTTCCGTCTTTACCACTTTCTTGTCTGGTGTTGCACACATGCATTCCTCCTGAAATTCACCATTACCCCAACCCAATTTGAAGAGAGATGCATGTTTATCTTAACGAGGCAGTTGAAGGCAAGTTGATTAGGGGGCACCTAGTTAACATGCTGAGTAATCAGTCCCAAAACAAGTCCAGTACATGGTAAGGATGCTAGTAAAGTTGTGTATGTTGTGTCCATGTCAAGGTGTTTAGAGCCACACAACCTAATGAAGGAAGACTGTGAACCTTCTAGTAGAGAAATAAGCTTGTGTATGTGTACAATTTCACTGCTGCGTCAATATGTGGTGAGAGCAATTTGTGTGACGTGACCTTTCTGGACAAACACGAAACTTATTCGCAAGGATTGTCGAGCATGGCATGCCAACACCATAAATATGCGGGAAAATATTTTTGCAATTTCTTCCCCCTTTAACACTATTATAACATCAGAAAATGTATTCCATTTTAACATCATACTATAGTGATGCAATGCGTCATCGTAGCAGTTACTAGAGGAAAAGAGTATGTTGGTATATACTACGGCAAAGAAATGTTTTCTTGCATGTTTTAAAGTGCATCATTCGGCCCGAATGAGTTGATGTATATACACACACACCTCTGCTACGGAGAGCACTAGAGGAAGAGGCAGCGAGGAAAGCGAGAGAGGTGGAAGAAACAAGTGGGGACCCTTCTTTCTCCTCCTCCTCTAATAGCACATCAGCTACTGGTGCAACTACTGACTCCATTCCCACACCCTCTGTGCCTGGTATGTACATCATAATACCATGCACGCAGCTAATATAGAACAGTTTACTAATACACTATCATACACGCAAGTAATAAAGAAATCTTCAGGCGTGAATAATGATTTTGCAGAGAATAAGTGAACCCACGGACATCACTGTTCAGTTTTTGTGAATCTAATTCCGTAGACCCATGTACATTTCCTATGGTTGTGTGGTGTATTAGTGTAGACTGCAAGGGTTTGCAAAGTCTGATTACATAGTGGTTGTGAGTGTTGACTGCTGAGCTGCCCTGATAGCTCAGTGTTCTGCTTGCCTTGTCGAGTCTTGAAAAAAGAGCGTGGATTGTGTAATTAGACAAATGAGACAATTTCCTTGTGCGCAGTTTGTAGTTTATTAGATTACAATGCTTTGTTTGATGGCTCATTGTATAATACTTTTCACTGCATTCCATCGTTACTATTATGACACAATACAAAAGCTGGAGCCCCTCTCTAAGGACATCCCTGAAATCTTTCCCCAAGAACAGTATAGTGGAACCTCTGATAATGAACTCCCCCAACAGTGAAAACCTCTCTATGATGAACTTATTCCCATGTAAAAACTGGCTTTACCATTATATACACATACCTCTCAATAAAGAAAACCTCTGAATAATGAAATACAATTGCTGTCCCAATATTTTCATTATTCGGAGGTCCCACTGTACTTGCCTGCCTGAAATAAGGACACCTCACTAATATGGACAATTTCTTCTCTCCCATTCGTGTCTCGATTATAATAGAAGACTGATGGGTTTACCTGATAAATGTCCAGTGGCGTATCCAGGGGGGTTCTTTGGGTACTCCAGCACCCCCCCTGGATACGCCACCACTTCAACATACAAAAGTTAGCAGCTCGCATGACTCGACTCGGATGCCACCGCAGTGAGCCTAGTAATGCGAGCGGCTAACTCACTGCGGCGGCATCCGAGTCGGCGACCTGGGACATTCACGCGAGCGTAATAACGGGCGTGGCACTTAGCCGCGCAAGCATTGAACCAGCGTAGGCAGTTCGAAATGCAAGTCGTAGACGAATTTGCTAGACGTCACCCGAGGAGGCTACAAATGGCTAACATACTCAGTGCTGAACAATGACGTGTCTATAATACAGCTGAACAATGAATTCACCCCGGGATATATCATTTTGCGCGCGCGCTCTCCCAGCACCCCCTAATGTAAATCCTAGAAACGCCACTGAATGTCTGTGCTTATTATGTGTGTGCAGGACCAATGAAGAGGTGTTGGAGGTGATTCGAAGTGGCAGGTCCTCTGCTGTGACTCTCTGTCAGGCCACCATTCTCTGGGAGCAAGCCCCCGACGATAAAGATGTGCGTATGTGGGGACGGGTAGAGAAAGGGTACTGAGTCACTGGTTAAGCAGAATTATTGTGATTTTTTACTCTCAATTTCAGTTGAATCCCTTGTTTATCATTATTAGCCTATCCTGGTGCCATTGTGTCAATCATAGCTCTGAAACAAGCATATTCCATGTTTGTGTATATATACACATGCGGATGCAGCATATTAGTCGGCTAAATAAACACGAATGGCAGTGTTGGCTAAATAAACACCAACATCAGTGTTAGCTAAATAAACACCAACATCAGTGTTGTCTATATAAACACCAACATCAGTGTTGGCTGTATAAACACGAACTTTATTGGGTTAATCTGCATGGAGCATGTGAATTAAAACATGCATTCACGTACATCGATATTCAGATATTAGGCTTCAAATGATCACTACACTTTCCCACATAATTTCTCTCCAATTCTTTCAGGCAAGTTTTCTGGAGCCATACATGGACGACAAGTCAAGTCAGACAAAGATAGGCAGAGTCGAGCAGTTTATGGTTGGTCTCCTAGCAACCCCAGACCACACCCCAAGACTCAGGGTACTGAGGACGAAGAAAATCTTTGAAGATCTGGAGACTGACTACAGACCGACCTTTGAACTCCTCCATGTGGCCACGAAAGGTGACTCACCTAATAAGGACCCTCTAAATAAAGTACAGCTCTCATATAATGCCCACTCTAGTCCGAATAAGGGTCACGTCTAAATAAAGATGTTTGGCAAAAGGTGTCCTTTCTAATTTCTTCCTCGTTCTCTCCCTCCTCCCTCTCATTTTCCTACCTCTAACCTGTTTTTCTGTCTGACTAAAGAGCTGATGATGTCAAGATCACTGAAAGAACTGCTTCACATCATTCTTCTCACTGGAAACTTCATCAATGGAGTAAGACTGATATTATGCATAGCAAAAGGAGGGAGAAATAGGCAGAGAAACCGCACTGAACAATCATTATCATCCCTGCCATTCTTCTCAGAAAAACACCCCTAAACTTTTCTGAATGTTTTTTCCCTTGCCCTACTGAAGCTAAAGTCGCGTAAGCAGGTTTCATTCCCATACTACACCGCAGAGCACGAAGCTTGGCTCGGCGTATGGGTTCAGAATCAGCTCTCTCCAGAGACTCAGCAATACTCTGGCCAACGTCAGGAGAACCTCCCTCAACGTCAACTTCCTCCACTTTCTCGTCACCGTGAGTGTATACGGATACTACAATCTGTCCATTGTGTGTACGGGCAGGCTAGATTATGACTGTACGTATCTACTTCTACTCCCATACCTTCTCTTGTCAACATGGAACAGTTGGATTAGACTAGCAGTGGGGACTCATCTCATTATATACCAACTTTATATCACGCTTTGCTCGTATCTACTGGCACTCCAATAGCACTAGCGTTTTAAATACTTTTTCAGCGGCATACATGTTCGTATATTGATTCTCTAATTACGGAGTCATAATGTATATCACCATATTACAAAACGGTCCCCATTAGGTTCTTTTGTATTCTATTCTTCTGTGCCTGTGGGCCCTATAAACCAGCATTGGTTGTGGTGTTGTCTTCGTCTGTGAGGCACATAAGAGGCACAAACAACCAGTTATGAGAATTATAGCTGCAATTGACAATAGAATGGATGGAATTTCTGTAATATACACATCGATAACATCTGAAAGAAAGATTGTATCAGGTTATTATAGCTGCTATAGAGCTAATCACTTACTAAGCATAGTAGACTATAATAGAGAAGCAGATTTAGTTCAAGACTCAAAGATGTAGTGCTCTATATAGAACTGCCGACAAACCCTTATCATAGCCATCTATGATATGCTTTGTTATGATAGCGTACCGTATTTCTATTTCAGCGCAATAAAATTTCAACATCTGTCAGTTTACAGTCTCCAAAATCACACTCCCCTATATAAACGTATATTATGCAGTCATACATTCAAGTAAGTGAAACAACCTCAAAACACACCACAAACTCCCATAGTGAAACCAGGAGCTATAAAACTTCTGTGTGTAGACTGTAAATTGCCTGGAAAAATGCTCATCCCAATCACATAACGTGCAAATAGCTGAAAACCTTGGCTGTCACTTTAGCAACAGAATGTTCTTGCAGCAAAAATTGATGATGGAGAGTAGTATATTCATTGTTGACATGAGGTTCTGTATGCTGCATGTAGGTGTGTGAGAGAGACTGTCCCAGACTGCTGAAGTTCCACACTGAGCTGCCTCATCTTGACGACGCCAGCAGGTGAGACAAGAATGGACAGTTAAAGGAGATTGAGATAGAGAGGACATGTAGAAAATAGGAAAGGAGAAAAAAGGAGAGACGGTAACAATAAAAGGATAGCAGAATAAAGGAGGGGGAGGGGAAAGAATAAGGATAAAATGACAATGTCAGTGAAGAAAGTGGAGGAGAAAAGGCAAGAGTATAGTCTCCATATCTCTCTGTGTGTCCCAGAGTGTCAGTGGAGGCAGTGGCAGAGGAACTGGGAGGATGGAGGAAGGAGGTGGACGAGCTGGAGGAGATGAAGTCGCAGTCTGGAGAGCTCCAGTTGGGAAAGGATTTCATTTCTCAGCTGGAGACATTTCTTCCAGTGAGTTGTTCAGTCGAGTGTGGATATTTTAGTGAGCACTTCAACAATAGATCTGACTTTTTTCTCTGTTCATACTTCCATATGTATGTACCTTCAGGAGTTTTCTTGCTGAGTTTGCCACATACAATGGTGTACAAACTCTGTAAAATTCTTGCTTTGCACTTATCTTTCTTTCATACGTAACCAAGATATTCTGTCTCTAATGGCATCCCTATAATGAGGGTATATTTCTGATAACAACAACTTTTCTAAGAAAAGTTTCTTGCATGTAATTTTATCCCTGAAGTAAGGACTCCCTACGACATTTTCTTCTACCCCATTGGTGTCTAGATTAGTCTAGAGAGGATCCAATATAATACACTCTTTGGTTCTCAATATTTTCTCCCCTCCCCTCTTCTCAGGAAGCTAACTCCATACTCTCCTCTCTACTGAGAGACTTGGATTCAGTCAAGAGGAAGGGAAAGGAGTTGGCTCGCTATTTCTGCGATGACAGAGACAATTTCCTGGAGGAAGTGTTTCTGGAGATCAGAAACTTCTCCGAGGAGTTTGGCAAAACAGTCAAGGTCAGAAAGATCTGCCAGTGCACCACTTTAACAAAATTTAAACGGAAGTTGCAGTGTGCCTTTTGTTTTGTGTTTTGTCTTCTCCATGTTTGGAAGAAGTTTTCTTGTTTCTATGCAGCAAGAATTTGCACCCATATAAAATTGAGTCAAACTGTAAACCTAACACTAGCTGATTATTCCATATCTCTATATAGGAGACTCTGCAAGAGAATCCGATTGTTTTGACCCCTGTTGGCCCCGTTTCCCCCGGAAACCCTCCTCACTCTTCCCCCTCCCCTTCCCCCAAGTCACAATTATCGCGTCCAGGGCTATCACGAGCTACATCACTTGTCACTACACACGTATTGGACCTCCCCCCGATTTCAGAAGAACGCGGCTCATTGCACGACCCGAGCATTTCTCCACTGGCTTTATCGTCATCGGGAAGTGACCTGACTAACCCGTTTGTATTCCCGTCAAACGGGTTTGTGAAGGATGATGGTGGGTCGCCCCCTATAATCATGGTGGCGCCACCAACTGACATCGTTGTGACAGATGTTGAAAACGATGAGGAGAGGGGAGGAGAGGATGAGAGGTCTTCAAGAACACAACTAAAGGTTAGCTACTTTTGTTGACAGTGCGAAAAGTATTAACCCTTAGCCAGCCACAGGCGTAATATGCCCAGAGCCTCCATAAGTCCATACGAACTTATATATGGGTATAATACTAGGCGTTAATATGTTATACATCAATTTCTGCTTGGAGATACGCATGGCGTCCAAAGGGTTTTAAAGAAAAATGACAGCCTATTTTCCAATAGTAAACACACATGGTGCAGAAAATATGTAGCTCCCAGCCTTGTATTTCTTTTCTTTGAAGTCAGACTGTTCTCTTATATACAGCCTGGCAAGAATCGTTCTTCATCCCATGCCACCGAACATCGTAAGTCCTCTCTTCGCGGGCCCCTGCCGTCTCGATACAAACGACACAGCGTCAGCTCCATCGGGCACGCATCTCTCTCCCCCCTCTCTCGTCAATCATCATGGAACGAGTACAAAGGTCATTCTCCACCCATTTACCGCAGGGGGGCAGGCTGGGGGCCTGATTTTAACCGGAACCCCTCGTGCCCAGAACCCCGCACCATATTTGATGGAAGCCTCGATGAAGTTGCGAAACTTCTGCACAAAATGGCTGAGGCAATTGAGAGGGACATGGACCAGAACTAACAATGCACTCCAAACACTCTTTCAGTATATACACGATCCAATCTCGCTATTATACAAGTGGAAAAATCAATTCTCAAAATGACAGATATAGGGATGGCTTGAAGAC